CTCCTCTGGTGAGGTGGACCAAGTAATCTCTAAGTCTTCCTACCAACATGACCAAGTTGCGAAAACAAGGTCAAACAACTTCTATACAACGAAAGGAGTCTGCGACCACACAAAAGGCCCCACCATCTTGGTCTTCCTACCTTCAAGTAATCTCTTCTTCATGCACTTTCATACGAAATGAAAGTCCCCCTAACAAAGCCTATATTTACCATATAAAGCTGCATAGTGAAATTAAGATAATTGACTGAAAAACTTTTTGAATATATTGGCCATATATCTATCATCCTTTAGTGCATTACTATGGATAGTGCTGAGGAGGTATGAACAAATATGCCTTAAAACCAATGTACCAAATTGAAATGCATAATTAAATACTAATTTATGATTAAGTTTGAGTAGGCCTTGACTTGCGTAAAAAGGAACCAATACATTATTAAGGCATTACTTTAAAAATAATCACTTTTCAATTTATTATTAGCACAAGTTGAATATTTAACGTACCAAAATTTCCCTACTCTCCGCAGATAAGAGAACATCTCACCTCCATTCACAAACTCAAGGACCATATACAAGTTTGTTGTATCCTAAAAGGCAAAATAAAGTATATAAAATATATAGAAACAATTTATTGTGAATGTTTATCAAAGTTTGATCGTCAATTTAATGCACAATCAGTAGGCCTCTTTGTGCTATCACGATGGCTTATTTTTTCTATTTCAAATTTTTGCGATGAGAAAATAAGACAGTAGAAATGGGGGCAAGATGCAGGAAATGAGTGTATGTTACAAACTATTAGCTGATCTTTCCGTGAGGCAGGACGTTGTCTGGTGCCAGAAGAGGGCAAAACTTTGCATAGCATGAAGCAGACTCTCGGGCTGAAGGCGACCTGGATGAGATCGACTATCACTTGACCTGCTAGGCAGCCTTTAGGCAATAATGATTTATTATCGGTATAAGTTGTCTCTGAGGCCATCAGTCATTCTTGAATAAGAACTTAGTGATCCTGTGCCACTGAAGATGATTTAAGGACTGGTAGATAAATTTTCCCACAAACGAGTAGACCTCAGTATGTCATTGCAGTTAACAAAGCCTTGCTTCCCATAATGATTATTTACACATTTTTGTTCATGCTGAAAATGAGTAACACCGTCGATTGCATTAGCAAATACGAGTTTATTTAATCATAAATTCCATTGTGAATGTGATTTTGGAGAGATGATACTTGTTTTAAACGTCACATCTGCCTTGCGACCCAATATCTGCCAAGATTAGGGAAAGGTATGGTATCTTTGACAAGATATTCGATCCCATTGGGGACGTTGAGGAGATCTGAGCGAGGTCAAAATCCCAGTACATCCTGAATGAAATAACATTTCGAAAGGCAATGCTTTGCGAAATTTAATGGCATTGCAAAGCTTTAATTCGAGTTTGTAGACAACTCCTATTGTATCTGAAAGGAGTATTCTGCCAAGGGACTGTCCAATCAGGATAGCGTGTTCTTTGTGTCGGGGATTCTAGAAGGGCGTCCGTTTTGATGCTGAAAATTGTCAGGAGGAGAACGACACAGGACGCCGGAATAATTACGTGCTTCGGGGTCTCCTTGACGCCAGGAAAATATTGATTGACGCTGATCGCATGAGAAAGTGTGTGATGAAAAGACTCGTAATTCGATGCAATCACCAAATCTGGGACACATTCCTAGAATCACTTGAAGATGCACAACAGATCCAGTTTCTGCTGAAGCACACGACCTGGTTTCCAACTCCGAGAGGGGCCCTGAAGTCCGTTTTATAGACAAGGTGATGCTAAATCCAATGAAGTTTTCTAATTTCATTTCATGCAAATATCATTGCTTCATCATCTGATGGGTCCTGATATGACTAAATTTCTGTTTTTTTCTGCGATATTACTTTTCAATGCCTCGGGCCGAGTTCATCGCCTACTCATCCGGCCTTGCTCAGTTACCTTTTCTGCTTGCTTTATTGAAAGGCTGGAGCAAATTTCTTGTTGCCTCAACGACCTGTTACTATGACAGTTAAGCTCGTAATGATTCGACATGAATCATCTGTGTGCGTAAGTGTGTGTATGTGTGCTCGTGGGCGTGGAAACAGCCTGCTTGTGATGGAGCAAATGCCCTCTTAAAT